AAGCAGATGAAAGATATTAATTCATCACCAGGGAAATTAATCAACAAATAGTTAATTGGTATATGACATTGGGCATGTAGTTTCAAGTTGTCTTGGGATATAATTTCTTGCATGATATGAGATAATTGGATGAGATGAGATAGTTCCATAAGTTGATTATTCAATTTCTAGCCTCCACACAGACTGTTTAATATTTGACCAATGGAGCTCATATTTAAAAAATATTTTAAAGCTATATTCATCAAAACTATAAAAGTGAGAAGAATAAAACATTGTTCCTATTACTCACAAGTTTGGAAGACCACTCAAAAGCTCAAGCAACAAACCAAGCCAGGAATGCCCTTCTGCTCTTCCTACCTATCCAAGTATCAAAGTCCCACAAATACTTGTAAATGTTCCCAAATGATTCAGTGAAGTAGAGGCAGAGCCTGGGGAATAGAGTGTTCTGTCATCACTCTGCTGGGAGGAACAAGCAGTCTGTGATGACTTGTTCTGTGGGTGGTTTCCTCCCACCAGGAAATATGTGAAGGGTGCTCACTCCTGCCATTTAGGAGCAAGCTGGATCTAAAGACAAGGCAGTTGTGCCCAAGTTGGAACCCAAAGTCAGTTCTCTTGGACTTGGAGTTTTCCTCTTTTGCTGGGGAAAATAAGCAAAAGATTATTATTTCAAGAACCTTATATACAGCTTCCTGGAAACTTGAAATGACTCTGAGGCTGGTAAAGTTGGATCGAATGATCCATCTACTGCTAGCTCTGTTCCAATCCCTTTCCAGCTTTAAAGAGATTTTTATTTCTCAATGATCCCCTCCTTTGCCATCATTTCTACTCTTGTCTTCTAAACATTTGCTTTGCTTCATGCTAGGGGGGGAGGATGAAAGGATGTGGGGGCATCTATGCACTACTTCTGGTCTCCCATTTCAACATAATTGCAGCCTAGGTTCCTTCATGTACATCATATTCTGGATACACAGAACTACTTGTTCCCAAATGTGCCCTCCTCTCTTATCCCACTGGGTACAGATCCTTCTATAGTGCTGCCCCTTCTCCTTACTGGATACCATCTCATTGAGTTCAAACAGAACTTATTCTGTAGAACTTTTTCTCCTTATCACTCTCCACTCCTGCCCCAGCCTCCTTCTGGAACTCACAGCAAACTGTGTGACCCCTTATTGTAGCACTCTTCACACTCAAGTTAAGTAGTTTTTTTACACTTCTGCCTTTCTCACTCATCTAAATGGACTTGTTGGGGACAAGGGCCATGACTTCCTCATTTTTGTATCCATGACACTTAGTCTAGGACATGGATAATGATAGGTGATTAGCAATAACTGCTTAATGAATGTATAATTACTTCTGACCCTGGACTCTGTCTTTGCTCAAAATTGTGGGAATTGTGAGTTACTCATCTTTGTAGTCTTCATCATTTTAGGCAAGGTACTGTACACTTGTAGTTGCTCATAAAAGCACATGGTATAAATGAACTATAAGTTAAATAAATTCAATAATGATATCTACTAATTCAATTCAGTTCAGTATTTTACTGTCTACTGTGTACAGAGAAACTTTGAGGAGCTTACAGTATAAGAAATAGCATTTATTAACTCATATTGTGAAGCAGAATACGCATTTTAAAAGAAGTACAATACAACTGTTCTCAAAAATTAAAAGAGGAAAAAGTTCTTTTAGGGGCATAAGAAAAGGCTTCTTGGAAGCGAAAGTATTCGTTCTGGCTCCTGAAGATGGGATAATGGGTAGGCAAGCATTCTAGACAAGGGGTTCAAAATACATGTAAGCGATGATAGCATAAGTTTTACCAAAGGGCTATTAACCGGTGACTTTGCAACAATTAAACAGATGTTCTTCAGTGTTAACTTACTGAAATCTTGTGTCATCTTATATGATGGTGTGATGATTAATTTTATGTGTTCACTTCACTGGGCCACAGGGTGCCCAACAGCTGGCTAATTATTATTTCTGGGTGTGTCTGTGAGGGTGTTTCCGGAAGAGATTAGCATTTGACTCAGTAGACTGAGTAATGCAGATTGTTCTCCCCACTGTGGATGAGTATCATTCAATCTGCTGAGGGCCTGAATAAAAGAAAAAGGTGAAGGGAAAGTTCTTCTTCTCTGCCTGATTGATTGAGTTGGGACATGAGTCTCCTCCTGCTTGGCAGTCGGATTTATACTATTGACGCTCCTGGTTCTCAAGTTGTGGACTCAGATGGGAACCTCACCACCAGCTTTCCTGGGTCTCCAGCTGGCAGGTGACATATCATGGAACTTCTCAAGTTCCGTTATTGTGTGAGGCAATTCCTTATAATAAATCTCTCGACAGATAGACAGACAGACACTAGATAGGTAGGTAGAGATATTTCTTTCTCTGCATGTATCTATGTCTGTATCTATCTACATGTCTGTGTGTCTATGTGTCTACGTTCTGTTTCATTTCTCTGGAGAAAGCTGACCAATGCAGATGTTTATTTCTCTCTCTTTTTAAAAAAATCTTTTATTTATTAAAAAAAGATTTTTTAATAGATCTTTATTGGAGTGTAATTGCTTCACAATACTGTGTTAGTTTCTGTTGTACAACAGGGTGAATCAGCCATATAGTTGGGCTCTATCACACTTTCCTTCCATCTACCTTTCCTAATAACCTTTGCAAATGACTGGTCCAGCAATTTGCTTTAAGATCTTTAGGTGCATACATCTCAAGTTTAAAAGTATACTGTTACACAATAAAAACTGCATCATATTTCAGTTCAATAGGAAACTAACACGATGGTAAAGATCTTAATTATATAAATGAGAAAGTATTCACAAAGAAATAGCTGATAGTGAAGAGAAGAGATCAAGATTTAAGCCAACTCTTGTGCCTAAACACGCTTTCCTCCTAGACTTCTTACAGAGGCAAATTCTAGCAGTATTCTTTACTCCTTTGGTATCAGAGATGCCATCATTGTTCCCTTCCCACTGTGATCATAACCATAAAATCTCAGGGAATGTAGCAAAGGGAACAGATCTTATTCATTATAAATGATCTTAAGAAACTGTCATGATATTACAGCTTCGTACCCACTGACTGTGTTGGGAAGACAAACTCTTCCCGGATAAAATCTGCATATACAGAAATAAGTTATATATGCATTGTGAAAAAGATTCCTGCATTAAGGCAGGAAGACTCTGTACTATTTCTTACAACCAACAGTATGTGAATTTACAATTATTTCTAAATTAAATATTAATTAAAAAACAAAAAATAAAACAAAAGAAAAAGAGTCCTAAACAATTCATCAAAATAAATTTCAATAGTGTTAATGATTTAATGTGTAAAAATGAAATACAAATAGTCCTAGAATAAAATATTGTGAGTATTTTTTCTAATCTTGAGGTGGTAAAAGCCTGCAGAGAAATGACACCAAAGGCAATGAAGGGAAATCATGATGGATTTAACCAGATAAAATTTTTAAATTTACTGTGGCAAAAATAGTAAACATGTCAAAATGTTTTAAAAAATGTAAAAATATTTGCAGTATATGTGACATTAAAAGTTTTCATATCCTTAATGTATGACATGCAATTACAAATCAAAAAGAAAAAGATACATGGAAGTAGAAGCAGTGTAACGATCAGGCAATCCAAAAATAGAAAATCTATGAATGACTAAAAAATGTAAATGTAATGTCTTATTATTATTTAAGAAAAGGAAAACTGAAAAGAGAATGAGTTACCATATTAGATTTTCAGATAGAAATTCATTAGCGTGAGAATAGCTGACTCATTATGATTATTTTTGACCATTGCTTCCTCCTTTTAAGGTTTGAGTCCCACTATTAAATCATTTCCTAACATATTATAATAAGACTGATAATTAGGTGATCTTTTGACGGAACTTTATAATGAAAGGTTGTTTTTTATTTTAATTAATTAATTTATTTATTTATGGCTGTGTTGGGTCTTTGTTTCTGTGCGTGGGCTTTCTCTAGTTGTGGCGAGCAGGGGCCGCTCTTTTATTTATTTATTTATTTATTTTGCTGTGTTGGGTCTTCGTTTCTGTGCGAGGGCTTTCTCTAGTTGTGGCAAGCGGGGGCCACTCTTCATCGCGGTGCGCGGGCCTCTCACTATCGCGGCCTCTCTTGTTTCGGAGCACAGGCTCCAGATGCACAGGCTCAGTAGTTGTGGCTCACGGGCCCAGTTGCTCTGCGGCATGTGGGATCTTCCCAGACCAGGGCTCGAACCCATGTACCCTGCATTGGCAGGCAGATTCTCAACCACTTCGCCACCAGGGAAGCCCCGTAAAGGTTTATAGTGAGAAAAATGCATACTCTTTTTTTTTTTTTTCTTACAATTCTTCAATTTTCATCCCTGAATCAAATTGCCTGGCTTGTCAACTAAAAAATACAGGGTGTTCTGTTACATTTAAATTGCAGGTAAAAAATAAATAGTTTAGCATAAGTATGGGTCATACATTATTTGGGACCTATTCATACCAAAAAATTTTGCTGTCTATTTAAAATTCAAATGTAACTGGGTGCCTTATATTTATCTGGCAAGCCTATCCTTGAATCAGCTTTCTCTACTCTTGCAAAAGAAGTTTTCATTTCTACAGCAGTTTCCACCTGTACCGGAAAGCCCACATGGCCCGAGCACATCAAGCTCAGTTTTCATATTTAGTGAATTAACCGATTAGTTAAAAGCCAAAGAGTGTAACTCTTTTACTTCATCTTAATGAATTAGACTTCCTTCAGATAGTAAGGGAAAAGTGACACAAATGATCCAAGATACAAACAATAGATACAAAAGGATGGAAATATAATTTCTGCATCTTAGAAACATTGCTTGAAATAATATTCACAACATAGAAGAAATAAGCTAACCATTTTGAGCCTAGAGCATTCCCATCCCCTGTGTTTTAGACCTTTCTGTGTTAATGGCAGCCACCCAGGCAGTCACAGGGATGCTGAAATCATCCAGGTCCGAACCCATGACGATTAGATTTCTTACCTTATTGCTAATAGTCTCTCTTCCTGGGAATCACTCCGTCACACAGCTGCAGGTAAAAAAAAAGTTTCAGAACATGCCACAGCTGCCCTTTCATTCCAACTGAGAGAAAATGAGAACAGAGAACTAATATTCCCTCCCCCACAACAAACAAACAAACAAATGATAAAAGTTACTCTACCAGAAGAAAGGAATCTCAGCAGAGAAGTGGCCCTTGTAGTTAGTTTGCTGTAGTTGTTCTCAAAAAGTGTTTGTAGTGGTCTTGGATGCTTTCCTGTCTCCTTGAGCATCACAGCTGCTAACATTAAAAAGCCTTTGTCACAGAACTGTGATCTAGGTTTTTATTTGTGCCTATTTAAAAGTTAGTCATAGAAAGCCAGGACAGCCTGCTTGCAAAGATCCGTGGTCAAGTTGGGGATAAAGATATGTAGTGATTCCCTTTACCCTCCCTTTTAAGGAAAGAAAGCAGCAAGAAAGTACTAGTTAGAAATAGCAGAAGTTATTAGTAAGAAGTCCTGGACTCAGAGGAATGCGTAGAGAATGGATACAATGGTTCCAGTTGTGTTTTTATTTCTATGAATCCTCTTGCTGTCCCTTTAATGCCCTCTGACCTGCTGGCAGTACCATCAGGTCTGAATGCAAGACTGGAAAGCACTTCACTGAGGAAGTAAAGCAAACTTGTCTTCATTTGGTTACCATGGTTATGGTACTGTGTGTTACCAACCTGATGATTTGCATTGCAAACCATCACTGGAAATGAAGACAGTGGAACTTGATATTCCAGGTGGAGAGGTTCAATTCACAGGAACTTCTACTGGAAAGTTCAGAGCAAACAGAACATAAATATACACACATACTCCCAAACCCATGAAGAAGAGGACCAAACTGTAAGGGCTAACAGTCAGTCTTATCCTCCATGGAATTTCAGTATCTATGAAGTATTTTAGTTGAAAGATCAGACAATTTCATTTTAGAAAGGTAAATAAGCACATTATTGGCCTCATTTAAAACAATTAAATTTCACAGTCACATTCAGCGTGCATTCTTGTGAAAGACATAATGCTAAAGCACTCCCTAATCCTGAGTCACGCATGCCAACAAATAGCCTTCATTTTGAAAAGCTTCATTAGCAGAGTTTGAAATGATGGAAAAGACCGTGTGCATTGCAACTTATATTTAACTTCAAACAAACAGGAACCCCAATATATAAAAGGAGAGTGCTGAGGTTGTCTTCAAGAGGAATGAGTGGAAAGGGCCTCATCAAATCTTCCCTCTCCCTCTATGACAGCTAGTGAGGTTCCTCTGCAGAGCTCCTAATATTAGTGGGTAGAATCCTAATGGCCGTATAAACTGGCCTGAAACCTATCCTGGGAGAAACTCTTGTCTTTTAGGCTTCTCTCACCTCTTCACCACCAGGTTCTAAGACCCTTACTCTCGGAAGCCCAGGAGTCTCTCGAGGCCTGAGATAACACCACAGCCACCTTTTCCTCCTGTGGCATCCACAACCCACTCAGCCCTAGGAAGAGCAGAACTTTTGTCTTGGACAAAGGCTAACTGGCAAAGCATACTTTAACTGAAGTATCATGTGCAGAACTACACTTGGAAAATGGAGTCCATAGTTTAACAGCTTTCATTTTAATAAAAGTGATTTTTTTAAGTGCAAATAGACATTCAATTGCACCCACAAAGAAATCCTCAACTAGCCATATTTTAGTTGGCTATTAGTTATATATGTATTATTTATGTAGATGATTTATTGGGAAGTTGCAGTACACGATGGATTGAAATCTGCATTAGAAATTAGGAGAATAGGACCCTATCTTAACCCAGTTCCTACTAGAATGGCCTTGGGAAAATCAATTCCTCTTCAGAGACATAGCTAATTTGGAAAAATAATGTGTACATTGCTGAATTTTAAAAAAGCTCTCTGCATGAAAATTAAAGATATCATATTGTATCAAAGTCTGTGAAACAAGGGAAATTGATAGCCAATACGTTGTTATCCTATGAACAGTCTTCCAAATAAAACACCTTCCTTCTAGTTCTGTTCCCTAGCATGCAGAATAATTTCTTCCTTAGTAATAAAGAAATACTTAAAGTTGAATGAGTTCACTGCCTAAGGGAGAGGTAATAAAGTAAATCAAAGTGACAATAGAGTTGCTAAGTTTTGGGGGGCAAAAGGAGGGGGTTCTATGGAATCTCATAGTTAGAGTCCTCAGCCCAGGTTTGAGGGTTTGGAAAAAGCATCCTGGAAAACATGGAGTCTAAGCTTGATCCTAAGGGAGGTCAGAAGTTAGTCAAGGAGGTGAAGAAGAAGGGAAATAAGCTAAAGGGGGTGCTCCAATTAGTAGGGAGATGAGGGTAGGGCAAAAATGAGACTGGAAAAGTGAACCCATATATTTTCCATATTTTCAATAAGTGTATCATTCTCATAACCTTGATCTCTTTGGAAATTCTGTAATACAATGGCAGGGATAAGGAAAGTGAGACCCAGAAAAGCTAAGTGATTTGAGAATATCACAAAATGAATTTTTGGTATATTAGGCCCTGGAATTAAGGTCTCAGGAATCCCTTTCCTAATGCTTCTACCATTAATGGGTCGTCCCGGGAAAACAGGCTAAAAGAAGAGGCACAAGTTTAATGTCTTTCCAATTAACTGAGTTTACCTGTGGTTCCATTTGTCTGGGGTAGCCTTCTTAAGAATGCCAGTAAGTAAACATAAGCTCCTATCCTCTGCATGGGGTGGGGAGAAGGAGGGCAATCCAGGCAGAGGGAACAGCATGTGCAAAGGTCTGGGGGCCAGAGAGAGAATGGTCACTTGAAGAATTGCAAGAGTCTAAGTATGGCTACTGCATAATATATGAAGAGTCAATGTCAAGTGATATAGCTGGTGAGAAAAGGAGTAAGCAGATCATAAAGGCTTTGCATTCCATTAAGAGATTTGAACTTTATTCTGAGGGTAGTGAGAAGTGACATTATCAGATTTATATGCTAAAAAAGATCCTCTTGCTTTAATATGGAGAATTCAGTGAGTGGAAGGAACATGACTAAAGACAGGAGGCTGGGGACCAGGTGAGATGCAGTAGTGACTGCAGCCATAGCCCCACGGTTAAAGACATGAGTTACTTTAGAACCACGTGTGAGAAAAAATCAGCAGGTCTTATTAACTGATCCACTCTGTGGGGAAAGACAGTGGTCAAAGATTTTTCTCAAGTATAGGTTTATAAAGCGATCTAGTGTGTTTTGTTTGCAAATATAGAGTTTGGGGTTCCCATGGAAACACCAAGGGGAAGTATCAGTATGCAGTTTGGATACATGAGTCTAGTGTTTTGGGTTTACATGCATGTCCAGTAACAAAATAGCTTCTAATTGAAGCCAAGGTGACAGGTGAGTTCACTACAGGAAGGACTGTGGAGTGAAAGTAGGTCCTAGACCAAGATGGAGAACAAGATGAAGGGAAGAATTAAGAGTGCCAAAATCAGAAGCGGGCTTGTAAGCTCTGGAGAACTGAAACCTTTGATCTACATGAGAAGCCAAGTTACAATCATCAGGCAGCTTGATGAATCTACAATAGAGTCAACTGTATTGCTGAAATGTCTAATGGGTTCAAACTATCAGAAGGAGACACAACAGACAGTTGAAACTTTTGATTCAAAGTTTCTCAAACCTAAATGTGCATGGAAGTCCCTAGTGCTAGAGATTTTAGTCAGTAGGTCTGGGGTGGGATGAGAAAATATGCATTGTTATTGATAAGTTCTCCAAAGCAACTCTGATGTAGCGTGTCCCAAGGGAAGAATTTCAGAATCATTGTTTCTGGTTAGTGCATCCTTTCTCCTGATTGGCCAGTTTTGCTGCTTGACATTGTTCTTCTACACACAAATACTCACCTTCTACTCTTAAGCGTTTAAAAGATATATTGATTGTTGAGCTATACATGGAGCTTGTGGTTTCTAGTACATTTCCAGCTCATTGGGAATGTTCCCACTTTTACTCTTCTCACTTTTACCCTGTGAAAACTTCACTTACAGAGAACATGTGAATGATGATGGTGGTGGTGGTTTTTAATGATCAGAGGCAGAGCCTGGGGGAGGGAGACAGACCTTCAGCCTCCCTAGAATCTCATCAGACCCACATTCTTTAGTAAGATCAATTGAAGTGTTTTCCAAATAGCTCTTAATGTCCAGTAGATGGACATTAAGATGGTGTTTCACTTTAGTAAGTCCTTTAATGATGCTTTTTTACCCCTTTGAGTTAGATTTGTCATATCATGCATGCTACTGGGTATTCATTCTTCTCACAATAAGTCCTGCTAGGTCAGTTTAATCTTTCTACAGTAACGATCCAAATTAAATGCTGCCTCCGCCGGGAATGGGACTCCCCTATTTTACTCTCATTTTCCTTATGCTTGTCACGGAGCACTTACCACACTGTGCCTGCTATTAGACCACTGATTCTTAAATGGAATTTATTTTGCCCCCAAGGGGACCTTTGCCAATGTCTGAGGACATTTTGGTTGTCACAGTGGGATGGGTGATGCTACTAGTGTCTTATGGGTAGAGGCCAAGGATAGTGTTAAGCATGCTATAATACACACAGCACTCCCCCTGTCACAAAGAACTTTTCAGTCCCAAATATCAAGAGCATTGAGATTGAAAAAAAACTCTGTATTAGACAAAGGAAAGACATAAATTGCTTAGGACTTAGAGCCCCAGGTGCTTAGTTCCAGCTCTGGCTCCAATGTTTACTACCTGTGAGACAATGGGCAGGTCTCAATTTCTGAATCTGAGTATTCTCATCAGTAAAATGTAGATACTTATTTTACAGATGCTCCTCTCACAGAAATCTTGTAGGGTTCACGGCAATAATGCATAAAAGTGGCCTGTAAACTTAATACAATCATCTTTGGATGCTTTGAGATTGTATGTATAATGATGACTCTAATGATAATAACTATGCAGGGAGTTTGGATATATAGGTCTAGAGCTCAGTAATGAAATCTAGGCCGGATTTCAAATTTAACTAGAATCTTACTCATTTTAATTTCATCTC